TTATGAATATCATCAATGTTTATCCAGCAGCTTTAAATAATGTTAATGGAGATGGGTTGGCATTTTGTAACAACTTTCCTTGACTGCATTAAAATGATCCATCAAAGTACTTCACAAGGTCAAACCAAATTGAGTGGAACTATAATGAATGCAAATAATTTAGCTGCATTTATGGAGCGGTTCAAGTGAAATCTTTGGGGTAAACACAGTTGAGTTACTGCTTTGAATAATTGCTTTGCTTAAGTAAGTGAGCTCAATGCAGTACGGATGCTGAAGGTCATTTAAGTAGGAATGATGAAAGAAAGCTGCAGAAGTTAGTGGAAGATGAAAAAGCTCTTGCGTGCTGAAATTAATACATATCTTTTTTGAACAAGCATTTTATTGTTTACTTCTTATGGATATAAGCAATTATGAACAAAGCTCAAGAGCATCAAATTAAAGTCAGCTCTGCTGTGCATCTTAATAGAAATGTGTTTAATGTATATGCTAATTTTTGCTTTAAAATATTGTTGTTTGGGAACTTGAGGAAGTTCTAATTCACCAAAGGTGCATATGGACAAAGAAGTTAATCAAGCCCCGGGCCTGATGGTCTTCTTTTAGCATGCAGACAAATGATGTGCATCTATTGTGTTTCACAAATGTTATAGAATGAGATATACTCATACAAACACAGGAAGCAAAGCAAAAGTAGCAGACCCCGCCTTTACCTCAGTCGAGCCCTCCTCTGCTTTTTAAGGCCTGATGGGTATCCAGACGAGTGCTCATTTGCAGCATTAGCTGTGAGCGGGGCACACAGGGGCTGCCGCAGTGGAGAGTGCAGCTCTGTGACGCTGCTCTCCTGCCGCGCTCCAACACTTTCCACCTCTCCATTCAACTAGGCTTGAATGCTCCTTTCAGAACAAGCCTCTCAATAGAGCTAATGGACTATGGGAGTGAAAGCCTAGCGCAGAAAAACACACATAATGCTACATGGAGGGAAGGAATGAGGTGACCCAGTATGTGTTCTCTGGTATCTGATTTTTTTGTTTGTCTTCCAACCTCATACTACTCTCCTTGGCTATCTCTCACTTCTCTTTTCTCTGTATTGTCATCTCTGTGTACACCTTTATTGTCCTGCTGTCTTTCTCGCCGCTGTCAGGCAATAGAAGATTGTGTTGTATTGATTCAACTTGTTTGATCTTTATCCATCTTCAGCCAGAGAAGGTTTTAAACTTCAGGCTTTATTTGCTGTGGCAGCATACTGGTACAAACACTAATATGCATGTCAAATAATATATTTCATAATATACATACAATGGAAAGGATACATTGTGTAATCTTCTCTCTTTAACTTCAAAAAGATGGACATCCTTGCTTACATCCTACAGTACATTTTAGAAGTTTAAATGTCTGTTAAATATTGTATTAATTATTTGATCATCGACTGCCCTCTCCCTTCCCTGATGGACATTTACACCTCCCGCTGCCTCAGTAGAGCCACAAACATTATCAAGGACAGTTCACACCCCGGCTTTCACCTGTTCAACCTGCTGCCCTCCCAGGTGCTACAGGTGTATCACATCCAAAACAAACAGACTCAAAGACAGTTTTTTCCCAAGAGCCATCATTGCTCTTAACACCTGAAATCATGTGAATCAATGTGACTCTGTACATATATCCACATATATCATTACTATTATTATTATTATTATTATTATTATTATTATTATTATTATTATAAATACCATCCATCCATCTTCTCCCGCTTATCCGTGGTCGGGTCGCGGGGGTAGCAGTTCCAGCAGCATTATAAATACCTACTATTATTATTTATTACATTACAGATTTTATTTTTATACTCCTGGAAATAATTACGGCACTTGATTCCTTATTCCTTTATTCCTTATTCCTAAGTATATATGCTGCGTGTATTTGTTGTTTTATGTTGTGATGTTTTTGTTTTTGTTTTGATGGCATCCTTGAAAGGGAGAAGCATTTATTATTATCTCATTGTACATGTATAATGACATTAAACGATTCTATTCTATTCTATTGATTGAAAAAACATTTTTATTTTGAAATTATTATTTTTTTAGGTCAGAGTGCGTTTATTGGAAACGCACAGATGAGAGGTGGAGATAGAGGGGATGGTTTGCAGCATCTGGGCCACCAGCTCTTACTGTTGAGCTATCCAGTGGCCCTTTTTGGACATTTTGATTATTGTTTAAGTCATGTTTAGCAAAATTGCCCAATATTATCTAGCCATATTTTTGAACCATGCAAATGTGCGCTATTGCGCATTCTGAAAAAGCCACTATTAAATACGTAATAAATAAACTACAAAGCATTGGATGTTTCTGAATGCAATTTTGTTTTGCTTATGAATTCTGAAGCAAACCTTCCGTCAGTCAGTCTGACTGCACATTTGTTGACTTTACAAAGCTTCCACCTTGCCCATTCACAAGTATGACTCATATGTGTTTGAAAGGAAACAGACTCTAGAAAAAGGATAGCAACCGTACAGTACATAGACGGAGGAACAAGCGCTGACTTAATTAGGATTGACCTCATAGTGTTCTTAGTTAATTGGCATACTGAAAAAAACTGCAGTTACAGGACAGAACATATGAGTGGGTCACAATGAGCAGGGGTTACAAGTCGAGTCGCACAGGAGGGTGTTTGGTGTGGCGGTAACAGAAAGAGATACAGTGAAGGAGCATGTGCATCTTACTGTGCTCGGCTCTGCAGAAAATAAAACATGCTTACATCTGCATGCCATGGACTTGAGCAGATGCAAAGACAGAAATAGCTTTTGTGAGGTAAAAGAAGGATTCAAGTCCATCTAGGGCAGGATGGACGAAGGAGCATTTCTGCATTTCATCTTTGGCTGTGGTAGACATTTTGAGAGTTGCAACGCGTCCTGGCTCATCAAATATTCAGTCTTTTTTAACATTCCTGGAGATGGTTGGAGAGTGTGTGCCTGCTCTCACTGCCTGATTCACTAGAGAGGAGCTCTATGCTGCAGCGTACATTTGTTATGTGTTTCTGAGTGTTTATACACAACATTCTGACCTCAGCCCAAGGGGATTTGTGAAAGCTGCTGCTGAGAGTGTCTTACACTTATCACTTAAATTACGTATGGCCAGCACACACAGTATGACCTTGAATTTGAGTTACTATGTCTGAATAGGCCTTTTACTAAATGAGACATTGTACCGCTTTATGAAGTCCCAATAAGCCCAATAAGGTTGAAGGAAGTGAATAGTGGATAAAGGAAAAGGGAGCAGCGAAGAGTTATTCTCTTTCGCTTGCACACACATTTTGGCCATTAATAATGTCATCATATTGATCATTTGTACTTCTGATTCAAAACATTAGCTGACAGTACGGGGCCTTTCACAGATGCCACTTGGCCACCTGTCTTCACAGGGCTTGTAATTGAAGGCAGCGTGATTTAACCTTCAGCTATGCGTAATGAAGTTTGACAGCAGCTTCCTCATTAGGCATCCCTGTGCCAGCTTGCCGTGGTCAGGGTCTCTTCTCTTGGCTTTCTCTTTCATCTCTTAGCTACAGAAGCACAAAGCCCAACGGTCTCCTCATTAAAGAGGCTTATTGCATTAATTCAGCCCAACATAGCACACGGAGCTGGAGCTGTTCCAAATAATCCCCCCTCATTTGTGTTTGTTGCGAACAGAAAATCGGCAGCTTTGAACTGCTGGGTTCAGCTGAGCAGGCTGGTGTTCTGTAACGTTTGGTCTCCTTTCAGATGATGGAGGCCTCCACACTGGATCACATTAGCCCACAGTAACAGTGACAGCATGACCTCATCTAAACACTCAACACCCCTAACTTTACCACACACACACACGCACACACCACACACACACACACACACACACACACACACACACACACACACCACACACACACACACACACACACACACACACACACACACACACACACACACACACACACACACACACACACACACACACACACACACACACACACACACACACACACACACACACACACACACACACACACACACACACACACACACACACACACCTGATGGCTGAGGATTGACTCTGAGTCTTACAAAGAACTGTTGATTGCAATTAGTTGCATAGTAGCCTTACCTCTTTGTGTAATTGCTAATATACCAGCCTTATCATGCAATTAAGGGCATGTGTTCTGTGGTCATGCATTCTCAGTTACATTTGCAAATTCATCATCTGTTACAGTCTGTTTTAATCCGTTTTTTAATATAGAAATAGGACTACATTATCCATTCACACTAAGCAATATCATTTTTAGCAATAGAACAATTAATTTCACTAATTAGCTATCACAATTTAAATGACAGGATTTAAAACAAATAATGCACCCATCAAGTTTCTTAATTTCATGTCAATCTTTTCATCACAGGACAGGGTATCTGCCAGTACAGTGATATCAATTCAGATAGGAGGCTATTTGAATAATAACATCAACATAAATACCCTGGTAATTTATATTTTGTTAATCAAATACCTGATTTGATTACATTGGATTGATACAGCTTCTTAAAATCATGTTTTTAGTTGCTAATGGTGTGTTTATACCAGCATAAATATGTTCAATGCATTTTAATAAGTTGAGAAACTCTTCATGTGACTACACCTGAATCTAATGTCATAATATCCCAAGAAACCCATTCAGCACCATGGACAGCACTGCCAGCTCAGCAGTATTGACTCCAGGAGAGATCCTTGATATTTTACTTTGGCCCTGACAATTCAACTGATCAATACAATTCAAATCTAGTTCAAGGATAACATAACAAGGACCCAAAACATACCTATCTACCTAATATCTTGGTTATAGAGTGTTTAGTGGAGCACAGAAAATAATAGGATGTTGTCATATCTAAACACAATACCTCCTTACATCTTGTGAATACAATAATCTCCCATTTCAAGTTCCTTTCCTTTCCTGCACCCCAACCCCCACTGTAGGTACTGAAAGACCCTTACCTGATAATGCCTGCATCCAACCGCAGATCTTGTAGACGGTGGAGGTTCCGAGGAGGAAGAAGAGGCTGAAGCACGCGATGCAGGTGACTATCAGCATCATGGACATACCGATGAAGAAGGAAGCGGCCTTGAACGCGGTGGAGGGGATAGCAGCGAACTCGGTGAAGCTACCCTCGCAGACCACGTCTCTGGAGATACCGTCTCCGACGCAAAAGTGAAACAGGCCGAAGTAGCCGGCCTGCGGCGTATCCACGCCATCTCCAACCCAGTACGGCTGAGAGAAGATGATCACGTTAACAATGCCGAACAGGATGGTGAAGATGGCCCATAGGAGTCCGATGACACTGGAGTTGCGGACATAGTTGGTCTGGTACAGTTTCGCAGCTTCTGCAGACGGTAGCATTGATGCGGCAGATCCTGGTATCATTTTATGCAATCCCGAAAATTAAATGAAGGTTGCGAGCACGACGCGAGGATTTTAACATTAATCGCACGCCCCGTTTTACACAATCATACCCCAAAAAACAGCGAGAGCACGCGAAGAATATATGCCTGTGCAACACAGCAACATCTGTCAGATCAACTCATGACGTCTCATCCTCGTCCGCTGAAGGAGAGGGGAGCTAGAGCAGAGAGCCTGGATATCACGGATAAATCGGATCAAATCAAATACTACAGCAGCACAAACCGGCTCATTTCCTCTTGCTCCGTCTATACCTGAGCAGTGCACATCCCTGCCGCACCGTGCCGCTCACTGATGCCCTTGGAAAACCTCAAAAAAAACTCCCGAGTGAAAGAGAAATGTATTATTCACGCCGAGCGCGGATTCACAATGCGAGATGTGCAAATAAAAATAGCACCAACCGTGTTCTATGATGCCTCTGAATGAGGTTTAATCCGATAACACATTAAATAGTACTTACAATTTAACGCAGCCAACCATTAAAACCATTCACAAAATACCAAGGCCCACTTCACGATCGTTAAACGGGATTTATTCTCCGGTTTATGACAGCATCACCGGGCTGACAGGGATGCTGGGAGCCGGGGAGGGAGGGGCGCTGACTGAACAGACGCAGAGCCGTGATGTACGTGTCTGTTCCGCGTACACACCTCCTGGGTACCGCTGCGTCAACAGCCACAGAACTGACGAAATATGTCAAAAATGCAGAAGAATAGGGGATAGAATAATGTCGAATCAAGTGGTGTTTCGTTTTTTACTCGGGTTAATGTGTGGCGAGTCGTCCCTGCAGTGATACCTGCCGTGTGGAGGCGAGGCTTCATGGAGGAGGTTATGTAACACATGAAGCTGCACATGGTGGCCTGAATAAGCACATGCTGAATACAAAGTATATAGGCAATGAGCAGTGGATTTTTAAGCAAATCAAAGCATAGTGTGCTGTCTTTACCACAGTTGATATAACAAATACTATTAGTTATTTATACTCCCCTTTTCTACCAATTAACACAGAAAGGCAACATACTCATCTTAGATCTAATTGTCATGCAGCAGGACAAGAAAAGCAGTGACTGGGCACACAGAAATATTACCTCTCATTATATGAGGAGCAATAAAGGTTAATCTTTTATCTCACTTATAGCACATTACAACCAACGTCTATGTCCCCTCAAAGCACACCATCAAAGCAATGTGTGAAGCCAGTGTTGTGTAACTGAACAACAGCTTTTTTACCTTTTGCTTAAATTGGTCTTAGACATTTTCAACTTCAAATGATGACTTTAATGAGTTTAATTTATTGGTTAAATGCATTAAATCGCTATTTTGCATCACCTTGCAGGATAATCATGATTACTTCCTGCCAGGGGCGCCGTAAGGGGGCGAACAGTTAAGACGATTCTAAGGGCCCGTGACTGACAGGGGCTCAAACTATTTTAGAACATTAAGAAAACAATGTTTAAGTAACCAATGTGATATGTTTTCATGGGGCCCAAAATGCCTGGCGGCGTCCCTGCTTCCAGCCTCTATTCAAATCATTCCATCTTATTTTTGTGTCAAATACTTTATTTTCTTTTATGTTGCCCTCTTGATGACTCTGCATAATGCCAGTTGCTCATAGTGTCTCAAATAATTACTGATAAAGTTTAGCATTGATTTTTAAAAGCACAAATGGACTGAAGTCCATGTATCAGGATAAGAGACATTAGACTCATTATATCAGAGATCTCGCTGCACTGAAATATCATTGTGCATCTTTGCGTTAATTGTCAACACATGTAGTATTTAGAACATCCTTATGATGTGGCCAATATGGTTCAGCTTGTAGACTTCATGAGAATTTTCAGAGAATACTTTATTTAGATCATTCAAAAAGAAAGAAATATGAAGCGAGGGCCAGACAGGAAACAAAAAATTAAGATATTCTCAAAATCCTGCTGACAAACAACTGAATAAACACGCTGCAACAAACCTACAAGATAACCTCTTTGTCAGAGGTGAACAAATCTATCTTATATATAATAAGAAAGGAACTTATAATAATAATAACTAAAAACTAATAATACAAATACAATGAAACAACACTTAATTGGACCAGGCCAGGCAGCATGTTTGGTTCTTCCACAGGCCCCTGGCTCCTCTTCTGCCCAATCTCAGTGCGGTCACTTTTGTGCACGAGTCGCATGCTTTAGAACATTCTGTACGGGCAGCAGCAGGTTGGGATGCAGGACAGCACCTGAGAGACGGGGTAATAATACACAACAGTTAGACACATCAGCAGCACTATGTATGAGCTGAACATGTTTGACTGTTTTTATTGTCTAATGACGATCAGCTGCAGAAAGGACCAGGTCAATGTTTAATTGCATGTCATCCCTGTCTCACCTGTCCCCACAGCAGGCTGCCGAGACCCAGACAGCCACAGACCAGCCACTGCTGCCAGTTCAGAGCCACACAGCTGTAGAATGAGCCCCCAAACTGCACGATGAGGATCTACAGGAGGAAGGGAGACACAGCATCATTCAGCTAATACGTTATCACTCTACACTGTGAACCAATCCAGGTGTGACGATAGCCCTCGCAGGTTACCTGGGCGAGGAGGGTTCCCAGGAAGCTGACACAGAAGTTGGTGTTTTTGAAAATCCCCTTGAACACGTTTCTCTCTCCGTGGATCTTCCTTGCGTTGATCGCATTGAAGATTAGCATGAGTACACATGTGTTGAACACGATGGTGTAGTGTACAGAGGGCGGGGCGTGAAGGGCGTACAGGGGGTCGTTTCTGCCACTGGCAATGTGAAAAATCTCACCTGTGAAAGGGAGGGTCAAAGTAATAAAGTATTCATTATTAATGAGTAAGTCAATTGTAATCAGCCTACTTTTCAAAGTGTTCTTATTAGGAGGTTTTAAGTGAGTCTGTTTAAGACCATTAAGCTGTGTTTGTAGGAGCCATGATCAATATTGATTGGTTGGCTTGGGTCACATGGGTATGGGTGGCACTCATTATAATCCTGTTCACCTGTGTGAGGTGTGAGTGTGTGGAAGAGAGGGTGACACTGGGCTGTTGTACTTTTTTGTTGACCGCAAAATTACAATTGCTTCTATTATAACAATGTATATGTCTGAGAACAGAGTTTTTTCATTAAACTACCATACTACGAAACAGAGCTTTGGATCTCAGCGAGTACTTTTTTAGCGTGTCATACAACAGCAAACAGGCCCGGCCTCAGCCTCTCAGCGACTTAGTTTGTTTCCTGCTGTCGCTACATTTTGTCACCAAAAAAAACAACAAGCACAAAAGGCGTAAGGCGATCATCATCAAACAGCGCATGGATTAAGGATCTATTGGATGAGAATGGAGATATGGAAATAATTCACTGAGGTAAGCACTGGCTGTTAATAGAGACTGCAGTTTGGAAACCGCATTCAACGCGGATCACAGCCAGGTAAGCCTTACCGTTGAATGTGCACATATTCACCGCTGTGTGTCTCCACTGTATAACTCCGCTCTGCCGCATGGAAGTCGCGCTGCTCTGTTGATGTGGCCATATGGAAATGTGATGCTTTGAAGGAATTGTCTTCCGATCTTTGAGTGTGTTGCAATCAGACGAATGCACTGAGGAAGCTTGAATAATCTGACGGAGAAAATGAGTCAAATAAATGTTGACGTTGAAGGTGTTGAAATGGACTATGGGAAAAGAGAACGCCCACTCACTGCGAAGGCATTGGTAAATAACATCGAAAAACTTCAACGGGAACGTAAAACCAGTGTGAACAAAATAAAAGCACTCATACCAGAAATAAAAGGACACATGAGAGAAAGGGGAAATGCCTCACGTGTGCAAAATCATTTAGATAAATTAATTCAACTGGGTGAAAAAGCCATTATTTCACATGAAATGTTGATTCCTTTACTCCCAGAGGATGAACTGAAGAAACAAAAGGAATGGTTTGCTAGTATCTTGGAATACAGTGAAAGCTTTCAGAGGGACATTAAACAGTGGTTAAAGGAGCCACAAGATGATTCTGCCACAATAACTGCTGCTGTGCTGGATATTCCAACAACAGATGACATGCAAGAGGATGTACAACCAAGTGACAGTGTGTCAAACGTGGAAATCGGAAGAAGAGCAACCCAATCACAAAATTCTGCTTTGGGGAAAAAGTCTGCAACTTCTACTGCTCCGTCTGCATGCCTTAAAATAGAGGCTGACTTGGCAGCTTTAATGGCAAGAAATAAACTATTAAAGGACAAACATGAACTGGAGGAAGAGGAGGAGCGAATAAGGAGGAGAAAGGAGCAACTTCAGATGGAGGAGGATATTGCAGGACACATGGCTAAATTAAATGTGTTGCAAACAGGGAGCATCCTAAGTGGGAAAAGTTCAAAAACAAGGCATTCAGATGGAATGAACTCTTACATTGAACAAAGAAACCTTAAACCACAAGTCCTCTACACTGCTAAGGACAATATAAATGCTCCACAAATGTTGCTAAACCAAAGGGAGGCTAGCAATGACTACTTGTATCCAACAACACGACCTAATAAGAACATTTCACCTTGGTTCCTTTCCTCAGAGCCAGTATCCCATAACAAATCCACTTTGAAAACACAAATGAATTATGGAGATAGCTTGAATGCAAGTGAAGATCAAAACGTTGGGTTACGTATTGTAACCCTTGTTATATTAGCACAGGCGGAGCCCTCTACTGGACTCTATGGGTATACTACCTTACCCTGCGAGCATTCTCCCACTGAGACTTCTATAGACGTAGCCGGCCTTGGGCGGGCCTACCTGAATGCGCGCACATCACACCGTATAAAAGGAGGCCTCGCCTCCTGACTATCATCCTACACCTCTCTTCAGCGAGCGGAATAGGACAGACAGTGCCCTGAGTAGAGGGCTCCGCCTGTGCTAATAACAAGGGTTACAATACGTAACCGAACAACCCAACGTTATATCTCTCACAGGCTCCGCCCTCTACTGGACTCTATGGGTACAGTGGGTGGAGCCCCGATTTAAACGCGCACTGTCGTCCAACAACAACATTCCACCCTACTGCCCCTGACTGGCTTTTCTGGTCAGCAGCTGCTGCCCCACATTCTCCTTTAACCCGGTTGTGACCGAGGAGAAATCTGGGCTGTGGCTGACAGAGCACACCCTGCTGTGCTTACCTCGCAGAAAGTGTGCTCAAAAAACAATGCCGGGGGACCCCCCCCCTACCCACAGACGGATGGGGAGAGCCCCCTCGGCCCCGAATGGGCTTACTACACGCCTGCCTCCCTGAATCCCTAAGGATCGCAGGGAGAGCGCCAGTGCCCATGCCCCACACTCAGACACCGACCCCGTGCAGAGTGTGTGTGGACTAAAGTGTGGAGGGCTACCCCCCTCCTGCCTCCCGGCAGGAGGAGAGCAGCCCTCCAGCCCTGTAAGGGCCCAGCGCGCCCCTCGCCCGTCCCGGGACCCTCAGAGGGCCCGGGAAAGGCGACAGCGCATCACGTCCGGGGAGGGGGTCAGATGCCAACTGACCCACAACCCCCCCCCCCTACAAATCCTGTGTTGCCCCAGCAAGCACAGACGAGGAGAAAGAGCCAGACATGTCCAAGAGATAAAACCTTATGAAGGGGCCTGGCGTCGACCAAGACCCGCTGTGCATATATCCTCCACACTCACACCGTTGAATAAGGCTGTTGACACAGCTACAGCCCGTGTGGAGTGCGCACGAATCCCCGTGGGGCAGGCTCTCCCTGCCTATCCGTAGGCATGTGCAATGCACTCGCAGAGCCAGCCTGCCA